AGCTCTCCTGCGGGCTGGCACCTCCCATGCCTTCGTACCAGCCCGCCGTGGCTCCAGGGCCTCGGAACGGAATCCTCTGTGGGATTCCAGGGCCCAGCCCTTCTCACTGCCCGTTCTCGTGTTCAGGTCTGATGTGTGAGCTGCCTGCTCCCCAGGCACTCTCCAGCCCTCGGGCTAAACCAGCACCAGGGTTTAGAGGCAGGGTTCCCAGGCTTTACTTCCTTCCTAGGACCTGACGCTCGGGAATTGGCTCCTTCACTAACCCTTCACTCGTGTGTCATCTGCCTCACCCAGGGGGTGTCGGGCTGCCCCACGGCGATACCACCTCACGCTCCCGCCACCGATCACGCAGCACGATGCCGTCCCCTGCCCCGCACACGGTGCACACAGCCTTCCTTGGGATGGCCTGGTGCAGAGCGGCCCCTCAGCTCCTAGAGGCTGTGTCCCGAGCCTGGGACCTGACAGACCCCGCCCAGCTCACCTTCCACCTTCATGATCTGGTACGTGTCCTGGACCACCTTGTACTTGGGCTCGTTCCGGAAAGCATGCGCCCAGGCCTGGATCAGATACAGAATCTTGTTTCGGACATTTACCTCCACCTGCCTCTGCAGAGAAAGGAGAAAGGAGAACAGAGAACGAGGAGGGCCGTGAGAAATGGGAACAGCAGAGAGGTGCCTTGCGAGGAAGTGGCAGGGAGACCGCGCCACTCTGAGCGCACGGGCCGGCAGGGGTGTGTGTGTGTGGGGGGGGGCCCTGCGTGGGACACAGGCCCGATGCTCCTCCGTGAAGCCCGGCCCCGAGGACAAGCCCATCACAGCCATCTACCCACACAGGACCGAACTTGTCCTCAGTCCCCTAGAAAAAGCTGGGGCCTCCCTGAAGCCCAGCTCCCCAGATCTACTACCCTGCCTCCTCTTGCCCTACCCCAAGGCGCCCTAACCAAGCCCAGAGGCCCCTCAGTCTGTAACCCCCTGTGGCTCCAGCAAATGCCAGGCCGTAACAGGCAGAGCCGGGCAGGACTGCGTTGAGGCCGCGGACACGCGGCCGGCTGCCTCTCCTCTGGTCACAGCCAGCCTGTGTGGGTGGGGGCCGGCCGCTCCAGGAACCTCCCCGCGTGCACAGCCGCCATTTCCACCAGGTTCCAGCACGGCCAGTCACATCTCCAGAGCTCTCTCGGGGACGCTCAGGAAGACAGCAGGGCGAGTAAGCTGCTTCCTGGAGATGCCAACTAGACTCACACACGAGGCCTCCGGTTCTCTCCCGTAACCTGCACCCAGTGAGTGGAGCCCTCTTTCTTACGGTTACCCTCCCTCTACAAAACGGGGCTAACAGGCTCAAGCCACGTGTGGCACATGGGATGTGGCCGCGATAGCACGAGGGGCAGGGCTAGCCCTTCTGACCTTGTAGCCAGGCCACCCTAAGGACTGCCTGGGTCACCAGTCGGAGCCCACCTCAGGCCCCAGATGGGCTCTTGGCCACGTGAGCCCACGGGTGCCCACCCGGGCCGGGAAGCGGCGGCCCCGCCCACCAGTGGTGACAGAGCCGGTATATGGGGCTGGGCTCCTTGGCCGCCCCCAGGTGGCCTCACCCCTGCGAGATGCCCTTTCACCTCAAAGAATGGCCGCACCACCTGCTCTGTATCACCCAACCTCATGTTGTCACCACCCACATCACAATCCCTGCAGCTGGGCGGTGGCCCGTGCAGGACACTCTCTCTAGGGATTCTGGAGGACTGTCCCTCCCCTAAGAACAGAGTGTGGGAAACCCACTCCCCAAGGTGTCCCCGGTATGCCGTCTCCCCCAGCTCTCCCTCCACGAACACGTCAGACTCACGTGCCTCCCTGCTCAGAATCCTGGCTCTGCGCGTGGGACAGCCCCCCCCCCCCCGCCCACGCTTCGGGGCTCCCCGCAGGCCTCCACCCGCACACCCTGCCCACAGCTACTCACGCACACACAGCTCCTTCCCCACCACCCAGTGAGGCTCTGAGCCCAGCCCCTGGGAAGCCTTTCCCCTAGGAATGGCAGGGTCTCCTCCGTGTCCCCAGACGCAGCAGCCTGGCTCACTTCTGGTGACGCCCCGACCTCACCCAGCTGGGATTCCTGAGGCTGAGGTGCTCACCTTCCTGTCCTCTGCTCTGCCCGGCACTGCTCTGCCCCAGGTGCCGGCAAAGACCCAGAAGAGCCCGGCCTCGGGGTCACCGCACTCCCCACGGTCTAGAACCATCTGTCCCTTCCAAGAGCCCACCTTCAACAGCTCCTTCAGCTCCTCCATAGTCTGCTTGTTGGCCACCTCATCGTGGACCGTCTGGCCACAGTTCTTCACCACAGACTCCATGACCTGCGGGACCCGAGGAAGGGACGGGCCAAGTCACTGGTCAGGGTGGGACGCCCCTCTTGGACAGGCCCCTCGGGCAAGCCAGCCTGTCGAGGGATCCACGTGGCAGCTCTGGGTCGGGCAGCAGCCGCTGCTACGTGCGCCCCTTCTGATTCCATTTTTTACTACCAGGGACAGAGACTGGAGTCCATCTCTGGGCCCTAAGTCAGCCGGCTGCAGGTGGGAGAGCTGAGGCATGACCTCTATCAGGTCGCTCGTATCTCCCTCGTTCCCCAGGCAGGTGGGCAAGGCCCCAGACTCAACTCGTCTCTGCCTTCCTGACACGGACACCGAGGTGGGGACTCCTGAGGTGGCCAGAGCGCGGGGCGGGGGGGGGGGGGGGGTGCTAGTTACCTCGAGGGCATACAAGGCCACGTGGGGATTCTTGTCGTTGACTTTCTTTTTGATAGAACTCACTGCGTATTTTGCTCTGAAAGAAAAGGACGTCGGTAAAAGAAAAAGAAAACCGAACCACCTCGGAAGCTAACGTGAAGAGAGCCCACCCGCCCTCTGGTCCTCAAAACCCCCAAGCAAACGGTAAGGGAATCACACGCCTCCAGACTATACAGAGAAAGCCCTTTCGTTGTCCCCAGATCCCAAAACTCCCAGTGTGGAGACCACTCACTTCTCCACCTCGGGACCTGCTCCCATGAGGGCAGGCCACTGCCGGATCTTGGCGCATCAGAGGGCACCAAGCAACCCCGAGCGCGCCATGGTGCCGCCCCCTCGCTTCTGGGCGGCACGGGCCCGCCTCACTTACTGTGTGTCCCCCTGGCGGATGAGGTCACAGATCTGGAGGATGGATTCCCAGTCGGTCTCCAGCAGAAGCTGGCTGGTAGCTTTGTCTAAAGCAAAAACGCATCATTACCGGGGCTCGGCATTCGTCTGATGCCCTAGGCGGCCCCAGAGCTCCGCAACAGGGAGGAGAGACCGTCTCCTTCCCATTTAAAACATTTGGACTGAATGGAAAGGCACACGAAAATCCTCTTGCCACCTGATAATGACAGCGCTGTCCTTCTCAGAGAAAGGACAAACCGCATAAAAAGTAATGATACGGAACACCGGTTACGCACTTGTGGGCCAAATGCCGTTCCAAAGGCTTTACGCAAGTGCTGAATTCTCACACAGCCTCGCCAGCAAGGTCCTGTTTCCATCCTCTTTACCGACAAAAACAAGGAAGCCGAAAAGTGAGGTCACACGGCTCGCTGGGGCAGAGCCAGGCAGAGTTCAACACTACACTCGGCCACCTCATCCCGCAGAGTCCCTGGTTCTCCCCAAGTTTAGCCTAGTTGATGAGATCCCAGCAAGGGCGAGGCTGGAGAAGATGCCAAGTGTTTTGTGGGATGAGGACAGGACTGACCCAGAAGAAGTACTCTCCGAATGACACCTCCACACTCTCCACATCACAGCTGCCTCAGGCAAGACACACACGCTCTGTCCTCCAGCCCTGCTGGCTCTCCTCCCGGGGACACACAGGTGATCTAACAAGGTGCACCCACTCGCAGTACTGGTCTGGCAGTAACTTCGGGGTTGATCTCTGGGGGGCTGAGCCACCGCTCAGCTGCGTGTGCTCAGAACAAGGAAGGTGCCTCATCTGAGGTCTTCTCCAAAACCGTATTCAAGGGGAAAGCGTGACAGGCTCAGAGTGACCACCGGAGCACAGGGAGCACTGGCCCCAAACAGAGCCCACGCAACGCAGTCTCACTGGGGGCAGAAGAGGACACGTCCCTAAACATTCATTTTCTTTGCTAAAACTCGTGACCTCCAGGAGGCTCCCAAAGGATCAGCTCCACCTCCGGCAAACAGAAAACCCGCCTTCCTAAACCACCGCGGCCTTCCGGGAGCCCAGTGGGGACAGACAGCGCCGGCCTGGTTCCCCAGGGAAGCAGCGCTCATAAGAGCGTGGCAGGTCCCAGTGAAGACACTACTGGTTCCACCGTTTGGAGCCCAATGTTTGGGGCACCCTCAAACCCCATGCAACTTAGGTTTTTTGGGGGAGCGGGTCTATGTGACCAGGTCACCCGTTTCCGTGACTCAGGACTTGTGGCCCGCTCAGTCGGATGCTTGTTTCCCCGGGACCGCCCCGCTCCCGGTCCAGGAGCAGAGCCCCCGGCGCAGTCGCCGCGGGCGCGGGCCCGGTCTCCTCCGCGTACCCTCACCTACTCGGGTCGGAGCCCGCGCCCAGCACCCGGGACTGCCCGGTCCCCAAAGCGCGGGCGCGCCCACCCACCCCGGGGGCTCGGCGGCCGCCTCCCGGCTCAGCTCCCAGGACGCGGGCCGAGCCGCGGGGGGCGGGAGCCACGTTACCTAGGAGACGCTCGAAGGTGCCGCTGCCGCGCCCCATGGCGCCCCAGGACCCCGACCCGACGCCGCTGCGCTCCCCGCTGCGAACCGGCGCGCCCCCGACTTCCGCTTCCGCCTTTTCCCCGGGCGCGCGCACGCGCGCGGCGCCGGCCGGGCCGCGAGCGGCGAGGAGGCGGGCTTTTCGGCTCGCCCCAGAGGCTGTGCGCCGATTGGGCTGCACCAGGTCGTGAGCGCCGCGAACCAATGAAGAACTTGGACGTGAGGCCTATCCAATGAAAGCGGGGTGGAGGGCGGGACTTGCGCGGGCTACGGATGCCGGGTGGAGTCCGGGGACGCGATGTGTCTTCTCCTGGGAGCCTCGGGTGTCGGGAAAACGCTGTTGGTGAAAAGGCTGCAGACTATCCTTCCGCGTCGGGCGAGGGCCCGGGGGTGGGGGGCGGGGTGCTCCCGGGGGCGGGGCTGGGGGCGCCGGGACGGGGGGGTTTCCCCGGGCGGGGTCCGGCTGTCGCCCGCCTTCCCTGCCTCGCTCTGGGGATCCTTGACCGCTCGCACAGCTGAGCTCCGGGGATGGGAAGGGCGACCTGGGCGATGCTCCCCCGACGCGCCCCACGGTAGGCACCCGCCCTCTCGCGGGGCTACGAGAAGGGGGTACCCTTCGCGGTTTGCAAAGTGCTTTGGGGCTGTTCTAAGCGGATGCTGGAGTCCGGCCGGTCCCTGTGTTAAACCCAACCCTCGGGAGGTGAGGGGTGTCTTGGGAAGGAGACTGCCTCCTGGGACACAGCTGCAGGGGAGGTGGGTGCGGGACGGGGGCCCAGAGCCGCCCACCCCTCACCACTCTTGAGACTGCTTTTTCTGGTCGCCTCGGAGGGCGAATCCCCCGATGGGTGTGGGTGCTGCGGCCACAGTCAGCTCTGAGGGTTAGGGCGTTGGAACCCAATTTAGTCTTCCTTACGTAGGACTATGTTTTAGGGGCTATGCCCTTGACAAGGGGCGTTTTGGGGTTTGGATCACAGTGTAGAGAGCTGCTAGCCAGGAGTTCCCAATGGGAAAGTGCTTGTGTCCTTGGTGCATCTCGAGTTTTTCCACAGGTGGGCACCAACCTTACTGACATCGTCGTCCAGAGAAAGATTACCATCCGGGAGCTGGGGGGGTGTATGGGCCCCATCTGGTCCAGCTACTTTGGAAATTGCCACTCTCTCCTGGTAGGTCGTAATCCTTTGCACTTAAGCGTTGTCTGGTGCTGGACCTCACTCTGCATAGGCTGAAGTTTGGGTTCCTGAGCAATTACGCGAAGGCAAGGAAACGTGACCGAACTTCGAGTTGCTTCCTTTTCCGAATAGCTTGATCCCTAAATGCTTCTGCTTCAGAGCGGGCATAAAAGCTCACGCAAGGTTTGCTGAGGGGAGCGTTTATTCTCTGCCAGTAACTGGTGCTTGCTCTCTGCCTTGATCCTCTGGGTGTGTTTTTATGTTTGTATTTGAATCCCACATCTCTTGGGCTTGTCCCATCCTGGCAAGGCCCGTGCCCCAGATTCCAGGACCCTTCCCGGGAGAACTGATGACCACGTGAGTAGAGGGACTTCCACGTAGGTGAAAGCAAGTGACATCAGGTCGCTCTCATGAAAGTCATTTCCCCTGACTTCTGCTGTCCCCCCACATCCTTTGTTTAAAAGTCCTTTTGCTCTTCCTGAGCCAGGTCTTGCTGCCCCAGGGAGGGGATTTGGGAAGGACCGTCTCCATCACGGGGTGGTCCCATCTGTTTTCTTCCTCCCCAGTTCATGATGGACGCCGCTAACCCCACTCAGCTGTCCGCGTCCTGTGTGCAACTCCTGGGCCTCCTTTCCGCAGAACAACTCGCAGAAGCATCCGTCTTGATTCTCTTCAATAAGATGTACGGTCTGTCTTCCTGGAGGAGAGCACGGCCGCGAGTCCTGGGAGGAGCTCCCTTGGAGTGGAGCCGGGACGGTGGCTCGTGGCTTGGGGGGTGGGGGGTACCGTGGGGTTTGGGATGCACTTGTGGCAGCCCGCCGTGACGCGGTGCTTCTTTTGCCCTAGCGATCTGCCCTGTTACATGACCGTAGACGAGATGAAGTCATTGATCAGGCTCCCAGACATCATTGCCTGTGCCAAGCAGAACATCACCACGGCCGAAATCAGCGCCCAGAAGGGCACTGGTTTATCGGAGGTGCTGCGCTGGCTCCAGGACACCCACAGAACTGACAGGCGACTGCCAGGAGGAGAACCGTGACCGGCTGGCTCTGGGGAGGAGGCAGAGAACCGCACCGCTTGGCCTCTGGCGATCTGTTCTCATCAGGGACAGGACGACCCGACGTGAGCCTAGGAGATGGGCTCCTGTCCTGAGTGGCGGTGATGGGTGACTGGCCTCTGAACGAAAAGATCGTCCCCAGGGCTGGGAGAGGAGGACGGGCTTGCAGGCGGCTGCGTGTCCTGCCGCCATCCTGGGATGTGCTTCCCGCCCATTGGGAAAGGAGCTCTACTTTCCTGACGGTGTTTGCACCGCCTGGGACCAGACTTGTTCTGGGGACTGTGGCACAAAGTTGTAAAGTTGTACCTGTGGAGTTTCCCACATGCCGACAATGTGGCCTCCGTTGTGTGAGGCCGTCATCTTAGGAAGAACTGAGCCTGGAGTCGGGACAAGAGTAGTGTCTTCATTCGTTCAGCAAACGTACATCACCCCGAGGAGGGCACGGGGCTCCCGCGGGTCGGTGCGAGTGGGAGCGGCCCTGCTAGAGCACAGGGGGTGCTGTGCTCAGCTGAGGGGGCTCACGGGGGGGGGGGGGCGGGGGGATACCTACTGGTGTATTCGTGTCCTAGAGCCTTCGTGACAAATTAGCCCAAACCTGGTGGCTTAAAACAAAAATTTGTTCTGACAGTTCTGGAGGCCAAAGCTGAAATCGATGTCAGCAGGGCTGGAGGCTCTGAGGGGAGAGCGCATTCCTTGCCTCTCTCCTGGCTTCCAGCGGCTGCTGTACTTCTTGCCGTGACCTGGCTTGTCACACACAGAACTAGGGTCCCTGCCTGTCTTCCCACGGCTGCTGCTCCCTATGGGGACACCCGTTACTGGATTTAGAAGCCACCCTAAATCCAGGATGATCTCTTGAGGTCCACGATTACGTGTGCAAAAGCCCTTTTCTGAAGTAAGGGGACACTTGCATGTTCCCGGTCGCAGGGAGACCTCTTTAGGGCCGCCGTCCAGCCCACTGCAGTTGGCCAAGAAGCCTCTACTCCTGGGCGTGGTTGAGTTTCCGACAAACGGCTTTCTCCAGCTCAGCTGGCAGCAGAGGCTGGCTGGACCACAAAAGAATGCCAGGCATCTGTTGTCTTGCTTCCTGCGTGCAGGGCACCAGGCCCAGGGCCTCCTCCCGCACACGGTTTCCTGTTGGCCACTCTGCTGGGGTGTTCGCTCGGGGGTTGCGAGTGATGCCTCAGAAAGGCTCTTGCATAGACTGCGGGGTAATTTGGGCTCGAGTCTCTCCCCGACCCCCACCCCGTGGAAGCGACAAACCCCCTCCTCTCTGGGAAGGGCACCACTGCTCCAGGGGTCCCACTGTGCAGCTGTAGACGCGGTGGTCTCCATCCCGTGGGCGAGTCCTGGTGGATGTCACGGACAACCTGGCATCCAGGGTGAATGGGCTTTCCTCACACCTCCCACCTTCAGAGAGCTCCGTGTGCTCAGGGGACATGCACTTTGTTCTGTCTCTAGGGGTGACCCCCAGCTCAGGGTCCATCTCTGAGATTTGGGCCTGGTAATCTCTTATGGCAAAGCCATGGGCCGAGTTGGTGAGTTTGGGGGTGACTGACAGGCCTGAGCAAAGCTGACACATGAACTGTTTTGAAAGGCAAATTTCCTCCCACCACAACCCATTTCTACCTTCCTGCTTTTGTGCCGTGCTTGGCGAGGAGCCCAGGGACGTGGGTATTTCTCAGGGACTGTGTTCACCCCTGGTCCTGCCCCTGCCTACCCGCTGCGCTCTGGGGGGGACCCCTGCCTACAGTAATGGCAGCCAGCACCCCTGCCACCCCATGCAGGGGACGGGCCCTGCCACACAGAAACACGTTCCTGAGAAGGTAATAGCTCTGATCTCAAATACAGCTTCAACGTAAAATTTCTTGATTTGAAAATAAATGTTGTAAGGGATACAAACTTAGGGAAGGGCAAAAAAGGATCCCACGGAAACACACCCCCCATGTCGTGCAGGGCCACCCTGGCCAAGGTGGAGACAGCACTTCCTGAGCTGTCCCAGCCCAGCTCTGCCAGCCAGAGGCACCTGAGCTGGTGAGCCCGAGGGAGGAGCCAGGTGCCTTCACAGGGATGTGAGCAGGACTCCTCCCCTTAATGCTCAACCCCCGCCCCCCCAGTCCTACAGCTGAGCACCCTCAGAACATCTGGGGCTCCCTCCTTCAGTAGGAATTCTCACGCAGCCTTTTTAACTACAAGTCGTGGGGCCAGGGTCCTGTCCTTGCCGTCAAGCTGCCTCACACCTGCTCTTCTCTCCCGAGTCCTTGGGGACGCCAGGAACAGACCTCCTCAAACCCACTCCACATGGGGGTGTGGCATCAGGGACGAGGCACCAGGAGAGGGTCCAGGTGGCCGAGGCGCTGAGCCCACCCCCACCTAGGCTGTGTTTCCACCTGTGCTGCGCTGTTGAACCCAACGGGGTCCCAGTTATCGGCTTGGCTGGCCAAGTCTGCAGTGTCTACAGTTAGTCGGCATTTAAGGACAGGATTACGGGACTGGCCCTCCCCGAAGTGACCGTGGGTTGTCTCAGGCTGGACCTGTGTGTTCAGCACAAAGCCGTGCGTGATGCCCGACTGGCTGTGTCCCAAACAGGTGCTGGTCTGTCTCTGGGAACTTGGGATGGACAATGCCCTGTGGGAGATGGCCCAGCAGACGGTCAGTCACAGAAGAGCCCTCTTCGGGGAGGAAAACATGACAGAGCAGAGACCTGGAGCCCTGTTCTACACTCGAGAGCTGGTACAGGGGGGCCTGGGAGTCCCAGTGTGCTCCAGGGAAAGGACCCTTGTGTACAGGCCGTCTACGTGTCCTCCCCGACCCAGGTGTGGAGGCCCTGGTCGCACCGTCACAGACAGGTCTCTGCCTTCTTCCTGGAAGCGGGGTGGGGTGAACGGGGTGGCCGTGGGGACTGAGCCGCCTGCCGCTGCCGTGTCTTTAGTGCCCGGTAGGCCTGCACAGCCCGCTCTCTCTCCTCCCCGACGATCCGCTGTCGGGCCAGCGACGCGGTCAGAGGCTGGGACACACCACCAGGGCTCAGAAGCATCCTCAGCATCAGCGATTTCTTCCCAGGCTAAAGAACAGAGATAGAAGTTGAGGCACAGGTTCGGGAAGGAGGGAGATGAGGAAGGGCCCACGTTGGTCCGACAGCTGGACGCCCGGTGAGAACGCAGCATTCCGTCTGCGGGCCGTGGACCCGGCAGCGCTGGGGGACACACAGGGCCACCCCCCGCCCCTGCTCACCTGGCCCCCGCCCCTGCTCATCCTGGGCTGGGCGGTCAGCTCTGGGGGCTGCAGGGCAACCTCGCCAAACTTCACCGTGTCTGAAGGGGCAGAGGAGCAGAAGTGAGGCCTCTGCCCACACAGCCGCGGCACAGCCGCGGCCCCATCCACTGACCGCCCCCCCCCCCCCCCCGCTGACCCCGGGAAGACAGCGGGGCCCGAGGCCAACGCAGTCGCTTCAGGAAGAGCCACCTCGGAGCAGCTCCTGCTCCAGCCTTTCTGCTGCCTTTTCCTCTCTTCTCTGCCGGACTCTATCCAGTCGCCGTTTCTGGAACCTGGTGAAGAAAGCACGATGCTGTTCAGATTCCTAAACTCTCATTTCTCTGGATTCCGAAGGTGGAGATCACCCTGCCCGGGAGGGTGCTCTAGAGTGGACCCCAGTGAGCTGCCACCGTGTCCCCACAGCTGTGCACCAGAGAGGGCTCCGAATGGCAGGCGCCGAGTTCCAAGTCAGTGGTTCTCAGTGGGGGCGACGGTGCCCCGGGGTACGTATGACAACATCCAGAGATGTTCTGGGTTGTCACAGAGGGTGGGAGCGCTCCTGGCACCTCAGGTGGAGGCCGGGGATGGTGCCCCCACCCCAGAGAATGACTGGCCCCGAGTGTCAGCTGTGCGACTGTGTCTAAAGGGTCTCACAAAGCGGCCCTGTGTCCGGGGCATCGCTGCGGCTCCAGACGGTACGTGGGACAGGTTTCCTGTGATGGGCTTCTGGTCACCTGACCCGACTACAAGCACAAAGAGTGCTCAGACGGGGAAGCCCCACGAGGCTGCAGACCATCCCCAACTCACAGGTGCTGAGGGAACTGCTGATGAAGCCCGGGCTGACGCAACTCAAAAGCCGCAGCTATGGCAGAAACATCTCGAAAAGCCCTTGTTTGTCAAAACCACCTCCCAGCTCCGGTCCCCAAGCCCAGGGAGGTGGCACATGGCTTCCTTCCCAGACTCCAGGGCTGGGAGGCAGGGGAGCAGCACCTGGCAGCGGGCTCCCCCTGGCCCCAGATGCCGCCTGAACCCCCCTGGAGATGCTGGTGTCCCTACTTGCAGACAGGACACGGGAGCTGAGAGGGGTCACAGAACTTGTGCATATGGCACAGCTGAAGGGGCTCAGAGATGACGTGGCATCTCCCAGCCAGAGGCAGGGGAACCCCGGGGCTGCGTGGGAACCCCACATGTAGTACCGATCTCCGGCAGAGGCGGCATGGTCCCCTGGTGTTCAGCAAGCCCTCCCGAGAGAGCACGGGGCCTTGTCTTTTCTCCACCTCCCTACTGCAACTGGCCAGGAGGACAGCTGGCCCTTGACCTCATCTGGCTCTTGGGCCCCCTGGATGCTTTTCCAGAGAAAGGCAAAGACAGAGCTAGGCCTTCAGAGTTCCGTGGGTTTAGAGGCTCCCTGCACCCCAAGGTTAAGAGGCTCGGGTGTAGAGAGAACACTCACCGACTGACCAGCTTTTCGCTTCTTTCTGCGCTCCCCATTCTGACACTGCAGGAGACAGTCGTGGGACCCCAGCCCCTACCCCGCCCCCACTCACGCTTTCTTCCGCTCTGATTTCTCCTTCTTGGGAGCCACCTGCACCTCAGGCTGCCGGGCCACCTGGTTCTTGCTGAGAAAAAGCACATGCTGGGCCTCCTGCTCCATACGCTGGATGTAGGCCCCGTCAGACTCCCACTTCCTCTGCTTGAATTTGGGGACAGCAATGTCCGACTCCACTCCTTTTGCTTCCTTCTCCAGTGTCTTTCTGAAGGCCATCTGGGCTGAGGACAAAGCGGGCGTGGGGTGAGGGGCAGGAGGGAGACGGTGCCAGGCTGGCTGCACGTGCTGGTGCCTCTGCCCAAGGCCACGGGGAAGGAAGACCAGACCCAGTGGGAGCAGCCCAACCACAGTAGCTAAAGAGGATTCACGATGCCCAGCTCGGGCACCCTTGCGGATGGGATCCCCATGGCCCACCGCTCCATGTCAAAGACGTCCACCACGGCTCGGCTGAAAAACAGAACAGGAAATAACCTAAATGTCTGTCAAAACATGGCTGCTTGAGGGAGCACCCTATGTTCGTGCGAAGACTTTATCACACAAATTGAGGACAGTAAGCAAAGCACGGGATGAAGGCATAGCTTTACCGCCGTTAACATGTGAAAATAGGCAGACCCTCTCTCTCGGGAAGGCATCTGAGAAGATGAACGGTGCTTTGTCTCAAAGGGTGACAGCAGGATTCAGAGACAGGGAGCCAGGCTATGCCGTACCTCATACCTCGCAGAACTGCTTGATTTACTGTGCACGTGAGCGTATAGCTCTTAAATAACCGAAAACGAGGGCCAGCTCAGGAAGGCACAGTTCAAAGTGTGCCATCTGCCACTGGGGCCAGCGCGCCTCCTCCAATTCTCCCCTTCCGTGCCTCTCTCACATTCTCTTTGGCAGTCACGTAACCCCAATGAAAAGCAGGAGGTTTACAGAGAAATTCTAGAACAGCACTGCTGTAAAATCAATCTCACATTTGGGAAAACATTTGCATACACAGAACATGCTGGACTCCATCCCCCTCAAACGCCCTGAGTGCTGTTTCTGGCAGAGGCTGACAGGTGGGCGCCCAGCCTGGCCTTGGGTGAGGGTTGGAAAGGGAAGTTTCTCAGGGGGGTCCGACCAATTCTCTCCTTAACCTCCGGAAAACATCCACTTCGCTGCACCATCCTTTCCGCGCTCCCATCCGAGAAACTGCCATTTCTCACTTGCAAGAGCTTCACTGGCCTGTCGTGTCCACCCCCTCAGTTGTTACACAGTGATCTCTCTTCTGATGGATCGCCACTACTTCTGGGAGGGGAATCCACAATCCTCACAGGAGGCCCCTTGGGGGTTGTTCTGGAGCCTCATCTGAAACCACACTACCACCTGCTGCCAGCCACCTCTTTGGCCCTGGTGACACCAGCCCTTGGTTAGTGCCCCCACATGTTCCTGCACCCTCAAACCACTGGGTCCTGGCAGATTTCTTCTGCCTGAAACAGGGCAAGTGGATTCAAACACACAAAGCTTTATTACCACCCAGCATGGGCCTGCACGTTACCTTCTTTCTTTCTCTTTTTGTTACTGATGGGATTTTTCATCTCCTGGCGGCTCCTCATAATCTCTCGGAGCCGGAAAGGGATTTCCTGTTCGTCCTGGTTTTGGGGCTTGCAATTTACTTTCTTTTTTTCTTTGCTGGGAGGGAGAACAGGAGGGTGAGACGAGACTTAAGCTCGGCATAAGCAGAATCAGAGAAAACTGAAGCCGGGCCTGGGACGGGAATTTCGCAGGCCACCTGGCTGCAGGGGTGCGTGCCAGGCAAGGAGGCATCCTCACCGCAGACTGTCCCTGCGCTGCGTTCTCGCAGGACGCTGGGGTGGAGGGCCGCTCCCACAGCCCCAGGAGGACTCGTCCTTGACCTCCACTAGGATGGCAAACACGGCACCCCGGACGGTGGCTAGTGCCTCCACGCTGGAGACCCTCACGCCTTCCCTCACCTGGCCGGTCCCCCGTCGCGCCCATGGCACGGACACAGCGGGGGCCGGGTAGAGACCCACCTGCGCGGTCCGGGCCACGGCGCCGAGCGCTGCTTCCCCGGCAGCTGCTGCTTTCTCCCCTGCGGCCGCCCCGGGCCCCCAGGCCCCGCCGTCCCCACCGTAGTAGCGCCTCTACGCCCGGCTCCCGCCATCTGCACGCCGGGCGCTCCAGGAAGAAGCCACTTCCGCCCTTCCGCACAGTCCCGCCCCACGACCGCCACTTCCGCTTCCTGCGCTCAGCCCCGCGCCCATTGGGGCGGTGCCGCTTCCTGGCGGGCCAGGATTGGCCAGAATGGCCGCCCCTCACGCCTCGGTGGGCGGGGTGAGGCGCGCGTGTGCGTGGGTCGGGCCGTATGTGATGCTGCTCCGGAGCTTGGCCCGGGGAGGCCGGGCGGTGGCCGCCGCTGCCCGGCGTCCGGCAAGTACCAGCGGGTCGGGGGCCGGGGCTGGGCGCGTTCGGGAGGCCGGGGCCGGCAGGGACTGGAGACGTCCTGCCTTCCCCGCCTGCAGGGGACCGTGGCTGCCTGCCCTGGCTCCACGGGAAGGACCGCCCTGCGCTGGACCCACCCGCTCAGCAGTGTCCCTTGCGCGCCCTCTGTGTGCGAGCCCTTTGGGGAAGCTGCGGTGAACAAGGAGCTGATGCTCCTCGCAAGAGTTAGGGAAATGGATAGAGTCAGGGCCGCGTCTGTCAGTGCTGAGGGCCCCAGACACAGTGGAGAGGGGAGGGGACCCTGGGGCCGGGGCTGGGACCGGAGAACGGATAGGAAGCGGGAGGGCTGCCCTCGGAGCCTTTGGGGGATGACCTGGGGGAAAACAGGGATGAAGGGGCGGTGTCCGCAATCAGGCTGGTAGGACAGGGACGCGGCTGCGCTGGTTGGAGAGGGAGAAGCAGCTGTGTGGCCGGAGCTCACAGGCTCCCGCCCCGCCCCCATTCTGCCAAAGGAGCAGAGCGTTCTTAGCTGGAGGTGCCAAGGTACCCCCCACACCACCATCTGCTGGAGGGCGCACCCAGTGCCTGTACCCGAAGCCAGCATTTCTCATGAGTTGTGTGTTATAGCAGCGCTTATGTCCGCTTTACAGAGGGAAAACCGAGTCCAGAGGTGAAGTAACTTGTGTGAGGTCTCATGGGAAATGAGGGAGTGGAGAAGCACCTGGGGCCCCCTGCCAATGACAGGGGCCGAAATTCCCCTGGAGCCGGGGGCAGGCAAGGCCTTACCAGCCTCTGTCTCCTTAGGGGCCACGGCGACTCTCCAGCTGGGGCTGGTGCCGAAGGCTTCCTGGAGGCAGCAGCACTCTTTACCGGCACTGTGCCTGGGTCCAAGCCCGGGAAGGCCACGGAGAGTTCGGGAAGGACCACGTGGAGGTGGGCTCTCAGTCCAGTGCAGAGGGCACCAGGCAGCACAAGTCCTCCCTGCCTGGCGGGGGCCCCTTGGAACCCCCATTTCCCCTGCCCCCCGGGCTCGAACCCCCCACAAATTGCTGCATGAGTGGCTGCCCCAAGTGCGTGTGGGTGGAGTATGCGGACGCACTGCTGCAGCACTACCAGGATGGCGGGGAGCGGGCCCTGGCCGCCCTGGAGGAACACGTGGCTGACGAGAACCTCAAGGCCTTCCTCAGGATGGAGATCCAGCTCCGAGCGAGGAGTGGAGGCTGAGCCGGCTTGCCCACACCCGCACCCAGACAGGCCCCGGCCTGGCAGCTCCTCGGGAAGCAACACGGAGCTTCATTCACAGCCCTTCACGAGGCTGGTGTCAGACAGAAGTAGGAAGAATTATTTATTGACCTCATCTGGGAATAAATAAGTTCTCTGTGGTGCTCAGACCGGAGGCTTCCGTGTTGTCGTGTGCAGGACTGACGTTGCGTCGTCACAGAAAGACGGTACGGGTTGCGATCGAACATTCGTTGAGGGCCTACAGCTTTACCAACCTGTAAGGGTAACGTAAGCTCCGTTCTTTTGAATAATTATGTGACGACGACCCCGGGAACCCCCTTCTGCCTCCCAGCGTCCCAGAAGTCCTGCCCCGAGGTCAGCTCTGGTTATTCTCAGTGCTGCAGCAGAGGGAGAGCCATCTGGTCCCTCGAAGCTGCTGTTGGCAGGGCCTGTAGCAGGCATGAACGCCCGCGGGCAGCCTGGGAAGGGCCCCTTTGTTCCAGCTGCAGGGATCCTTGGGGAGATACCCATTCAGCCAGGGGGGAGGCGGTAGATACACCGCCGGGGCCTGAGCCTTCAGTCCTTCCAACCCACTTAGCTCCGAGGATCGGGGCGATTGGCCAGGGCATCAGCCCTAGAATCAGCCTCCAGGAAAGCAGCCTGGTCGGCTGCAGACCTGGCTGCTGGACCATCCAGCCCAGGTAGGACTTTGTCTTAGGGTCCTCACTGCCCACCTCTCCTGCTCACCGCCAGCATGGAAATTGTCCCACCTTCTCTCCCTCCCCCAGCATTTCCAAGCGCTGATACGAGCAGCCTGGGCGTTTATGCCTGTTTTCTCTCTTCTCATTTAGAGAAAAAGCTAAGATTGTACTAGAATTTCGTGAGAGGTTTGAGCTGATAGGTCTTCCCACGTAGGGGCTTCAATGTAAAGCTAGCGTATCACATGGCAGATGTGTGGGCCAGGGAGTGGGAGAAAATGTGAGCCTAGTGAGACCCCTGTGGCTTAGGCTGTCTTTCCGAACAGCTGAGTGCCCTCCAGAAACAGGGTTTTGATTGGTTCAGAGAAACCTGATTTATGGTGACACATTTATTGGACTATATCTCAGAGCATCTAATTTAACCGCATCCTCACACAGATTGAAAAACGGCCCAGGAAGAGAAAGATTTTGCCGAGACAGCAGTACAGCAAAGCTTGGTGGGCTCTGGGCCTCCCTGAAGGGGTAGCTTCTCTCAGAGACATAGAAGTTTTCTGTATTTTCCTCAACAATTCAGGTTTATGGGGTGCCTGGTGGCTCAGTCAGTTAAGCAACCGAAGCTTCGTTTTGGCTCAGCTTTGGTTATAGACTCATGGCTTGTGAGATCAAACCCCACGTCAGCATCAGTGCTGACAGTGCAGAGTCTGCTTGGGACTCTCTCCCTCTCTCTCCGCCTCTCCCCCACTCTCAAAATAGACTTAAAAAAAATCAGATTTATAGAGGTTTTGTATACGTACCCGTGTATGCACGTACGTATACCTCGAGTGCATGCTACTCAGTTGGCCTCGCTTCAGAGCTCAACAGTCCTAGCAGAGGCCCGTGTGATGTGAGCTGTCCCCATCAAGAAGCCACTGGTGTTGTCCCTGGCAGCGAGGCAGGCCCCTCCTGCACGTGGAACGCGGCCGTCTTGCCAGGGCAGCATAACACCAGGCTTGCTGAGACGCATGCGGGTGTGGGTCTCGTCCTTGTGCATCTGTTTGTTTCCCAGGTACTTCACCATCTGTGATGTTCTGGCACTGGGCTAGCCGCCGGGGTCCAATAGAAATGTCTGCCCCACTGCACTGTAACGTGCAAGACGGAGGTTAACACAAGCATTGCTCCAACGAACGACTATGTAAGAGTGATGAAGGAAAGTTCCGGTTGCCACGAGGACCTGTGAAATACGGATCCTGGTCTGGCCTGAGGGGTCACCCTAAGGAAGGGATCCTGGTGCGGAGCTCCGAAGAGGGAGCTAGGGGAATGAGGACAGGTGCAGAATACACCCACCGGAGGGGGCAGCCGGTGCAAAGGGGGAGAGCGAGGGGGAGGGATACAGATGAAATCAGAGAAGTGGATAGTGGCCACACTATGCGGGACTTGGGGGCCGTGAAGGCAGATTCTTTACAGCTCGGAGGATGGAAAGCGGGGGAGACCCAGGACAGCAGCCAGTTTCTTCTTCGCTTCAGAGATGAGCAGCTTCAGGAGAGGGTCTTGTCCGTCCCCAGCTGTTTGTGATCGCACACCGTATCCCTTGTCCCGACCACATCCCTGGCTCATCCCTTGGACCCCAGACCACACCCGAGCCCCTTCCCTCCTCTCCCTGAATTCTCGGAGGTGGCGCCCTCCCTCTGCCCTTCCGAATGGCCCTGATGATCTCATTAGTGTAGCGTCAGGGGACGATCCTAATCGGTTTAGCCAGAGGCAGGATAAATTTCCAGCCGCACCCTGCTGAGGGAGACCTGGTCACTCGCACCCATGGCCCCCTGAGACCTGCCCAGTGCGTGGTGAGTAGTGACCTTCCTGGTTGCCTTTCTCGGTGGCCACTTACCCAAGGGTGTTGGTGGGGATCTGCCCCGAGGATGGGGAGCTGGCGGGCTTTTTGCCACCGCACTGAGGACTGGGTCTGTGGGGGTCTGCCTGCTGTCCTATTCAGAGAGGTTGCCCAGCCAATCATTTTCAGCTCCCCCATATCAAACAGTGGCTGCAGGCAGCCCCCAAGGCCAGCAATGGTCCGGGGACCTTGGGCCACACACTCCCAGCCAACTTGAGTGGGCATCAGCCACAGGCTGGGCTGGGGCCGGGGCAGCTGGGAGAGGTCAGACGGCGGTTTCCATGAGGCCAGCATCTGAGAGTAGGAGTTCGGTCTGGGCCAGGGCTGCGCACACCAGGCCCACGGCCTGGGACTGGGGAAGGGTCTGGCTGAGCCTACACTGTCTAGGCTGTGAGGAGTGGGCATCACAGGGTCTGAGCAGCCAGGACCACCAGGCCCGCTGCCATGCACCTTGGACCCTGTGCACGTCCTCTCGGCATGGAGGCGGAATCTTAGGGAGGGAAGGTCCGTGGTGGGGTCCCCCTGGTACCGGGTGCCCACACCCACCACCCAGCCTTCCTCGGGGTGGGCCCACCTGTCCTCGCCTGCCAGTCTCAGCCCTGGTGCTCTAGCAGGCAGCTGGCAGTGGCCCAAGGCTGGATTCAGGCACTGCAGCCCACAATACCAGGGATGGGTCCCAAGAGGCGGTGCCTGGGGTATCCAGTGCCAGGGGCTCCTGTCTGTGTCATGGGCTTAGCCCCAGAACCTTCCAGGCTCACAGTGGCCCTGAGGGATTAGGGTCTCCCTCTGGAGCTAATAGGCTTAGGGGAAGCTGAGTCGCCCTTGAGCAGGGTCAGGGGGCTTAGGGCATCCAGGGAGAGGTTCTGCGGGAGGGGCAGAGGGGAGTTCACCCTATGCAGTGGGTTCAGGGACACCAGCAGGTGGCACTGGTGCCCGGAGCAGTCCCCTCAGCACAGCGAGTGGCCGGGGGTGGGGTGGGGGGGTGAAAGAGTCTACTAGTTGAGAGAGGAAGCTGCTGGGGTGGAGGGGAGGGTTGCGCAGCTGAGCTCTGGACTTGTTCTGAGACACGCCCCTCCCTGGCCAGCCCGCTGCCCTCCCTTTCTCAGTCATTCTTCATTGACACTACTAGCTGCCTGGCATGCCACCGGGAATGAGACAGAGTGTCCCCACCCATCCGAGGGGGGTGCACCTGCAGGGCCACCCAGGACTCTCATTCCCTCTGCCTGACCCCAGCTGGAGCCCCACCTGGAGATGAGAGGGGGCTGTTGTCGGGGTCATGCCCAGGATCTCGTGTTTCAGGATTTCCTCTGTTCTTCTGGGTTGAGACCTGGAAGGGGGCTGACTGGGATCCCCTCCCCCCACCAGCCTGGTGTGCCCCCAGCCCACGGCGTGAGGAAGTCTAGAAGCCAGAGGTCTCCGCCATCCTGGCCATGAACCTGGAGCCACCCAAGGCCGAGATCCGGTCGGCCACCAGGGTGATTGGGGGGCCTGTCACTCCCAGGAAAGGGCCCCCCAAATTTAAGCAGCGGCAAACCAGGCAGTTCAAGAGCAAACCCCCCAAGAAAGGCGTCCAAGGGTAAGCAAGGCTTGGGGAGGGGCCCAGCCCCAGGCTACACAGGAAGGAGGCGGGGCTACACTTTGAGTGGGTGCTCAGCTGTCCTGTTCTGGCTGAGGGTGGTCCCATCGTCCTAATAGGGTGGGGTGGTTCTGGAGGGCCTGAGGGTCCCCCTCAGCATGGGGGTGCGGGAGGGCTCCGGGGCTCCTGTCCCCCTCTACCTGTTACTGCCAAATGGGTCTGGAGACTGTGCTCACTGCCACCTAGGGATTCAGTCACAGGCCAACCACCGACGTGTGTCCCTGCACACACACTCACAGCCAGGGCACGCTGGGCAACTCAGGGGTCTGCGGTCAAGTGCATGAACACCCCCCCACACACACCCCCACTCCTCTTTTCCTGGCCGCTGGCCCTGACCGCTCTGTCCTATAGGTTTGGGGATGACATCCCTGGAATGGAAGGCCTGGGAACAGGTATGATGTCCTCGAGGGTCTTCCCAGGTCCCCCCCACTCCCCCACCTGTGGGCTTGCCTGCCGTGCCACCCTTCCTCTCCTTTCTCTGGCAGAAGCTTATCTAGGGCGCCGCCCCAAGCCCGTCCCTCATTCTCTGCCCCAATATCGAGCTTTAGACCTCCCGTTCGGTGGGTTCACTGTGGACTTGGAGGGGCTGGAAAGGCATGGGGAGCTCTTGCCGCCCCTCTCTCCACCTGGCCTACTGCACCCACTGTCTTCCACCCGGCCCGCTCCGGCTGGTGTGCCCCAGTGGGGAGGGCTCTGCACCCAGGACTTCTCTCACCCTCTGAGGGGATGGTGGCCCCTGGGGCCATGACCCTCCTGGTCCCACTGTCCCTTCTCCTGCAGATATTACGGTCATCTGCCCATGGGAGGCCTTCAACCACCTGGAGCTGCACGAACTGGCCCAGTACGGCATCATCTAGCGCGAGAGCCTGACCCGGAGTCCCAGGGCCCTACCCCCCGCTGCCCGCTCCGACCCCTGGTCAGGATTCCTGTGAGGAAGCCCATCCCCCCGAGGGTGTCCGGATTGTCCAGTTTGTGTTTGGAGACCCTTGCAAGGTGACAACCTTGGGACCCTAGATGCTAGTTACCAGAAGCCCCCCGTCTCCCTGCAGGACATCTCGGGCCCGGTCAGGCCCTGCTTAACTTCCAGAGGAACTGCAGATCTTCGTTTAGGGCTGGAAAGCCAGGGCAGGGCTCCCAGAAATGTCCCTCACCCCCTGCTCCCGTCCTGCTATCTGGTGGTGAGGACAAGCCCCCCTCGCCAGTCCTTCCCAGCTGGTGCCCTTGGGTTGGTGGCGGGGGAGGGGCGGGGGGCGGTGTCCCGGTGGCATCAGCAAGAGCGCGGCACCCCTCCAAACCCATCGCGCCAGCAGGAAACCTGACCTCCCCGCCACGGCCCATGCTTGCTGTCCGTGTTGCAAAATAAAGTCAGCATGCCTCCCCTCGCTCGTCTAGAGTGTGCTGTGGTGCGGGCAGGGCCCAAAGGTGTGGGTCTCCAGCCGGAGTGCACGGGTGCAAGTGCAGGGTGTCGGGGGCCGCAGGGGCCTGGCCGGGCTGAGGGGGAGGGACGCCCACGAGGCGCTGAGCCTGGGCCTGTGGTGGCTGGGGGTACGCCCGGCGAGGCCAGACACGCTGGGGGGCAAGGCGCACACACCCGGCTGCCGGAGCCCACCCGCAGCTCCTGCCGGGAGGAGGAACGCTTAGCCCTGCCCCACAGGTGAGGAAACAGGCGCAGAGATTGTGGAGTTTGCTCAGTGGCCCAGCTAGCCTGTCCTCGGTGGTCCACGAAAGCTGGATGGGCGTCCGCCCGTGACCCAGCAGCTCCGCCCGATACCACACCCGGGGGAAGCGGGCGCACCTGCACACACACACACACACCTGTGTGGAACTGTCCCCAGCAGCAGTCACCATCCGGAAGCCACCCAAGTGTGCGTCCACACGGGCCAGGTGTGTTTGTGGGCGTCTGCACACAGCACAGTGCAGACGTGACTCTTGGGAAGGGCCCTCTGGGGTCCCGTTAATGTGAGAGGGTCACCGATGGTGATGAAGTGCGATCGGGGTGCCCGCAGTGAGGAGTTGGCAGAGGCCGGCTCCTGACCTGGCAGCCGATCTGCAGGTGCTTAGCTAGGTAAGGATTCCTCACGCTGCCCGCTTAACACCGGCGCTGTTTATTGTGTGGATGCTGCCTCTCGCTCAAGTTTACTCCCGCCTGGGCCCCACCTCAACCACCACAACGGTGGGAAAGGGCGAGGTGACCCCAGAGGAGGGCAGGTACCCAGGCCGTGGTGAGAGAGTGAGGCATCAGGGCTGGGATCAAGACTGGGGGTCACAGGTGACATCCTAGGCAAAGTGTCAGAGGCGGGGTCAGAGTGGAGGTCAGAGGCAGGGTTTGGAGGTAGGCATCAGAGGTGGTCGGAGGTGGAGGTTGGAGTTGGGGGCTTGGCAGCAGGATTTCCTCCGGTCTCCATACCCCACACGCTCCCTGCCCGCTGGGTGGCTCTGCCTGGCGTCCCCAGAGGAGGCAGACAGCGGCCAGCAGCACCCACCAGGCTCAGCTTACGCTCAGGTCACAGTGGCGTTTGCCAGGGAGCAGGCAGTGCCCGACTCAGTGGTGGAGAACAAAAGTCCCCAAAAGATCGTGAAATCAGGGGGTGGCACAGGGACTCATTCTAGCAGGGCCTGATGGAACCGGGAAGGAGGCGGACGTGCTCTGCCCTCAGGGGAAGGGGGGCCCTGGGGGGCCGGAGGCACAGCCGGTGGAGGAGGCCAGGGCGTCTGGGATGCCGTAGGACACCTTCCCTGGGGGTCCTCCTGGGCTGTCAGCGCTGGGCCAGTTTGGCAGGGGCCGTTTCACGGAGTGTGAGGCGCGGGTGGACAAGGCCACCGTCCCTGCGGCTCTGGGGCTGTCCACCTCCCCCCGGCGGACGGCCAGGGCCCTCACCAGCTGGTTGGCCAACAGGAGCTCCACCCCTTGGACCGCCACAACCACGATGGCGTAGGCGCCCGCGGCCCGCACGTTCCTGCGCAGCCACCGCCGGAGAGGAGGGCCACAGCCCTCCAGGTGCACCACTCTCCGAGCGGCATCCTCGTCCAGGCGCAGGGCTCCAGAGCCACACTGGTCGTTGACAGAGGCTCCGTCTTCCCCGGGGTGGACGCAGCAGGAGGCAGGAAGGCTGCAGGCCTGGACCCCCGGGGAGCTGCAGTTAAAGTACCTGTAAGGGCGGGCACACCTGGGCGTCAGTCTGGAGGGCACACGCAGACACACAGATGCGTGCACGCCCGCACACGTACTTGTGCACACACAGTACCCAGGTGTCCGGAGCTTATCCCAGCATCCAGTAGCCCTGCGCACATGCAGGCACCTGTAAAATCTCGGCTAGAAGGGACATATTTGGTGACAGGGTTCAAGGGGAGACAAGCTCGTGAGGGGGGGAATGAAGACCACCTCGCTCGGTGGGGGCTGCTGAGTTGGTCTGAACAGGCAGGACTGGAGGGGGCAGGTGGGCGGAAGCCTGCGGGGGGTCACAACGGGGAGTGAGGGGCAGCACTTGGGAGGAGCTCGCCAGGCGGGAGGAAACTGCTCTCCTCAGGGCCCCCGCCTCCAGGCAGCAGCCCGGCGTCCCCGGCCTTTGCCTGGGGTCCAGGGTCCTGTGCCTCCAGGTCACCCCCCTTGCCCTCCCTCACAGGCCTGCTCTCATCTCCCGGAAGAGTGGGCCTCACCAAGACAAGGACTCGAAAGCCGGCAGGATAGGTGGCAACGTGACCCCAACAGGGGCCCGCCACCAATCCAAAGTCAGACACGGCCCGTGAGTGAGAACACCCACACGGATGCTTCTGGAATGCCTGGCATGTTTGAGTGACCGTTGGATACAGATGGCTGTTTTTCAAGCCTCTGTATGGCTCTGTCTCTCGTGGCCGGTTGTCCTCAGGCACAGTGTAAAAAATACACTACACCGTGTTCCTAAATCCATGCACACACAGACGCATGCTCGCACACGGACACCGGCGTGCACACGCTGTTGAGGGAGAGCCGTGGAGTCCAGAGCCGTGTCCCCAAGTGACCTAAAAGTCATTTTCATTTGACACTGAGATGTCCTGTACGATGACCTTCACAAAAACACCCCCAAAAGTGACTTTCTGACTCTGCTGGCTCGATCTCGGTCCACCTGGTCCTGGTCCACGAGAGGGAGCAGAAACACGGGCCCAAGAGTGTGCACGTGCACGTGTGTGTGCATACATGCAAGCGTGTCCACGTGAGCACGTGCATGAGTGAGTGTGCCCACGCGAGCGAGTGTGTGGCCTGGTCTGCTGGCCGCTGGGGACCGTCCCTCCCCCTTGGGCCCGGGACTCACAGGTTCCGCGTCCAGTCCCGGTAGGAAGACGCCCCGCAGCACCGCAGCCCAAGCTGGATTTGGTCAATAAGGAAGCGCAGGCCCGGGTCATCCTGATAGTGGGTGATGGCCGCACGCAGGGTGTGCTCCAGGCCATCCTGCAGTGGGCCCCAGAGGGCCACCAGCAGGGCACCCACCACGGCCTCCAGCAGCAGGAAGGCAACGAGACCCCCCGAGAAGCAGCGGAGCAGAAACGCGCTCTCACACAGGGCCCCCAGGCAGCCCGCCAGGCTCACCGCACTGACGGCCAGCCCCCCCAGTACCAGTCCCAGAATGGGGTCTTCGGGCAGGGCCGCCCCCCAGACGCTCCCCAGAGACCCCTTGACGGCCAAGCCCCAGAGCCCGATGGCCAGGGCCAGCAGACCAAGCAGAGAGAAGAGGAAGTTGAGCAGGAAGGTCAGGCACTTCAGGCAGCTGATTCCCAAGGGGAGGGAGGAGGCCGGGCCTCCCCCGGGGCCTGCCCTCCAGACCCGCTCCTCTTGGGGCACCGGACCTGGACGGCTTGAAGTGAGCGGCCCCTCCTGGCACCCGGGGTCCTGCAGAGGAGGGAGGGATGAACAGGGAGACTTCACCAGCACGATGCGATAACCAGCAGGGAGGTGGCCTCCTCCTCGCGGCCAGGGGTCAGAGCCCGGCAGCGGGAAGGAGGCTGGACAGTGCATAGAGAAGGGGGTGCTCAGAGACCCTCGGAGGCCGGGGACATGGTGGCCTCCGGGCTCGTCGTGTTCAGCCAGGCGGCAGAGGGGACGGTGAGGGCCCACCTCCTTTCGAACAAGGGCTGCCTGTACCCTGCCAGTTCACGGTCCAGACTGAGCAAGGGGATCCAGAGAAGCAGCCGTTCCACCAACACGCTCCTGCCCTTTATCTCCCCCCGCCCACCCGTGTGATGAAGGATGTGGGTCAGGCCCCCTGACTTCCCCGCAGCGCAGGCACGGGGCAGGCAGCCGGTTACCCCGGGTTTGGAAAAGCATCTGTGTGGGTTGGTCTGTATGTGCAGTGGAGAGAGGGGCTTCCCCACCCAGGCCAGGGGGGTGGGGGCCGTCAGGCAGAAGGGCTGGCCCAGGGGACTGCCCTTTCTGCTCCCCCCTCTGAGACCAGCCCCAATGTCCCAGGATCTGCTGGGCTGGTCCCACTGTCAGAGCACAGACGTGGTACCAGGCCTACAGCTGTAGGAGGCAGGCTCCCAGGGCAGGGAGAAGGGCGGCCTGAGACCAGGGCTCTGTAGGATTCAGGGCCCTCCAGCAGGACATTCAGCCACCCTCTGGGGCACTGGCCGGGCCAGGTGTGGACTGTCGGGAAGTGCTGACCCCTCCCCTGCCCCCACATCTGACTCTGCATCAAAACCTCATCCGTGGGGCGCCTGGGTGGCGCAGTCGGTTAAGCGTCCGACTTCAGCCAGGTCACGATCTCGCGGTCCGTGAGTTCGAGCCCCGTGTCGGGCTCTGGGCTGATGGCTCAGAGCCTGGAGCCTGTTTCCGATTCTGTGTCTCCCTCTCTCTCTGCCCCTCCCCCGTTCATGCTCTGTCTCTCTCTGTCCCAAAAATAAATAAACGTTAAAAAAAAAAAAAGACTTAAAAAAAAAAAACCAAAAAACAAAAAACCTCATCCGTTATGAACTTGGAGCTGAGGAGAAGAGAACTATTTATCAGCCCCTGAGACCCCCAACAGTCAGTAGGAGCAAAAGGGCAGGTTGCTGGCACCAGGTTGTGGGGGGCAGGGGGGAGCAGGAGGGGGGAAGGGGGCACCAGGGCGGGTAAGAAGGCCAAGAGGCTGGTGGGGGCATAGTCACAGGTGGAGGTTGGATGAGCAGGACAAGAGGGAGGTCCCGAAGGCCCCAGTGGGCACCGTCCCCCCGTTCCCAGAGCATGGACGCAGCCACGTCAAACACAAGGCAACAACAGGAAACGTTTCGGAGCTGGAGCAAGGTGCGGGGTGACGGTCGGGTGCCTGATCAGTAACCCCCCATCCTAAACTTAGCTCCTCACAGGCGCCCACCTGCTGGCTGGTCCCAGCACACCGCAAGGCTCAGGGTGGGGGTGAACCCAGCCTGTCCT